CCACAAGCCTGCAGTGAGAACAATCCATGACTGTAACCATTCTGAGCTGATTTCCAGTACCACTTTCTTTTTCTTGACCAAGGTTGTCTATAATGTTACTTAGGCCATAGAATCAACATTGAGGTTTCAGTAATGGAGGCCTGGTAGAAAGAGGTAGAAACGAATTTCCAAAAAAATAAACAATTCTCATTTCTGGTTGGGATTTCTTGGTGCCTCTCACGCCCTTGGAAAAAGCTAAATGTTGCCTTCATGGTCAAAATAAACTCATGTGATCCACTTTCTAACCAAAGTCTGTAAAAGGGATAGCTGACCATATATTATAACATTAAACTAAAGGATGAGTGCATACTACATAAAATAAACATGTTAATAAACAAAAAGCAATTACAACAGCCAGTGTATAAGTTTGTCTATGCTGAAACACTGACTTGTAAATGACCAAGAAATGACTGAGAACCCAGTGCTAGCCAGGGTGATATGCAATACGACAAAAGAAGAGTTTTCACCTTTTAAACGTTTACTTCTTTTCCCTAGTCTTTTAAATTCTTTTCCACTCAATGAAGAAACCACACCAAATACCATCATCATATCAATAAAATAGTCTAGCAGTCTATTATGCAATAAGAGATTCTAAAAATTACATAATCATAAATATAAAATGGCTTAGAATTAATATTTCATCAAGTTTCTTCAGAAAACTTTAATAAGTTGACAGGTTATCTTTTTTTTAGGAGAAAATTTTTGTCTGGCCTTGTTTTTAAACATTTTTATTCAATTATGGAGAGGCTCACTTTAGAGGAAGTCATCTAAGGGAGGCAAGGCTAAGCATGGGTTGTAGGAAATGAAGATAAAAGCAGAAGCCTCCAGGTGTAGTATAGGGTGGGCAGGCCCCAGTAATAGAACCTGAGGAATAAGTCCACATGACAACCAGGACCTGTAGGATTAATGGCCAAACTTGTAATGACCAGGTGAACTAAATCAGCATGGTCTAGGTGTGGAAGATCCACCTGAGGATTGTTGTCATGAAAAGAGAACTGAAGGGGAAGATTTTGGTCTGTTGATTTTCTAGGAGAAGCTTGCTGCAGATAGTTTTCCTGATGCAAACTAGGCTGTTCTTATCACAGAAGAAGCTCAGGGCCTTGCTGTCAGTGGGAATGGCTGTTGTTTTTATCAGTGAATCTCTGATCTTCACCATAAGCATCACTTCCTGGCTCCAATGTGGAACCCTCAGCTTGGTAGCACAAATCCATCATATCACCGGCATACATTTTCTGGCTTCCATCACTGGCCTGGGCCTTCCAAGTGCAGATCGTCAATACAGACAAGCATGAGACATTGCTGAGGGCTCTTGGAGGACAATGTCTTGGACTCTGAACCTTTAGCTAGACTTATATGGGAAATTGCTGGGATACAGGCCCTCAGCTGGAACTTTAGACCTCTAGTATGCAGTTAATCTCTCTTGTACTCCTTTGCATTTGACTCTGGGTAATTACCATAAAATAACCTTATAAATTATGTGTCCTGTATTTAATGTATTCCCTTGCCTAAACCCTGACTACTAACTGTACCCAAAGGTGGTTGTTATGGTATGGTATATCCCCGCAAAAGCTCACTGTGTTGAAGTCTTGGTTTGTTGATGAGCTTCTAGGAAGTGATTAGATGATGAGGGCTCTAACCACCAGGGAATTAATCCACTGATAAGATCATAATTTGATGGCATTATCAGAAGTGATAGGAACAAGAGGTGGACCTAGTTGAAATGGAGGATCATGAGAATGTGACCTTGGAGACAACATCTGGTCCCCAGTTGCTTCCTCTTAGGCTCTTTCCTTCTCTCTCTGCTTCCTGGATACCATGAGGAGAGCATCTTTCCTCAACCAAACCTTGTTGCCATGATGTTTCTGCCTTACCACAGACCTAAAAGCAATGGAACTAACTGGCCATGGATTGAAGCCTTTGTAACTATGAGCTAACACAAGTATTTCCTCTTCTCAAGGTGGCATTCTAAAGTACTTTATTACAGAGACAAGGTTAACAGAGAGGTGAAGGAGACATCTTGAGGAGGAGATTCAGAGAAGGGTACACAGCAGCAGCTCTGTTTAGGTTTTCAGAATCAAAAGATATCCATATACAGGTTGGGGGAACGAATAGCATACCAGGACAGTGTCAAAGCCTGAGCAGGTGAGGATATCCAAGATCAAATAAACATCAACCTAATTAAAATGGGGGACCTCTATACACCACTGTCACAAATAGATTAACTACACAAAATCTCAACAGAAAAATAGGAGAGCTAAACAAAACCTTCAAACAAATGGACTTAATTGATATCTACAGCATTTCACCCAATAAGAACAGAATAGATTGTCCTCAGTAGCTCATGGGACTTCTCCAAAATAGATGATATATTAGCCAATAAAGTACAAAATAATCAAAATTATCATGCATATCACAGTGCAATGACACTAAAAATCAATGGCAAAAGAAGCCACAGAAATTATACAAATGCATGATCCCAGGTCAAAAAACATAACAGAATGTATAGGCTACAATGACAGCAGTTCTAAGAGGAATGCTTACATCAAAAAGATGCTCACATCAAAATAACAGCGAAAACCCAAATTAGAAACAGTATGATGTACTTTAAGGTACTAGAAAAACAAGAACAATCCAAATCCAAAGCTACAAGGAAAGAAATTATTAAGGTCAGAGCCAAAATTAATGAAACTGAGACAAAAGAAAAATACAAAAGAGCTTGCTCTATACAAGACAAAATAAAATCTATAAATCCCTGGCAAATCTTACCAAAAAAGCAAAGACTCAAATCAATGCAGTTTGAAATGAAAAGGGTAAAATCACAAGGTACCTTGTCTAGATCCAGAAGATGGTTAGCAACAACATTGAAAATCTGGACTCCAAAAAAATTTAAAAATTCAGAAGAAATGGACAGATTCATAATACAGATGAACTGTGAAAACTGAACTAAGAAGATATAAAAACCTTGAGTAATAACAATAATAGGCAGTGGAATTGAAGTAAGAATAAAAAAAGTCTACCAACTAAGAAAAGGTCAGATACCACTGGATTCACTGCTGTATTGTACAAGAACTTCAGGGAAGATCTAACACCAACACTCTTTAAACTTGTTAATAATATTGAAAAGGAAGGAGCACTCCCAAAGTAATTCCTGGAAGTTACCATTACCCTAATTCCAAAACCAAAAAATGACCCAAATGAAAAAGGCAACTAGAGGCCAATCTCTTAATGAACATGGACACAAAAATCCTCGACAAGATAGTGTCAAGTAGATGCAACAAATGATCAAAAAGGTCATACATACATCATGATCAAGTAAGCTTCATTCCAGTGAAACAAGGACAGTTCAAGATACACAAATCAATAAATGTAACACATCACATAAAAAGAAGTAAAGACAAAAATCACAGGATCATTTCAATAGATGCAGAAAAAACCTTTGACAAAATCTAACATACATTCAGGAGTTTTAAAAACCCTGGAGAAAAATTTAGAGTTAGACTTTTTTATCTCAATCAGATAAAAGTTATTCATGAGAGAACTATTGCTGATATCACACAAAATCAGGAAAAATTGAAAGTATTCCCTATAAAATCAGGAACCAAATGAGGATGTCCATTATCATCATCCCTCTTCAAAATATTAGCCAGAGCAATCAGACAAGAGAAAGAAATAAAAGAGACATATATAGGAGAGAAAGAAGTTAAACTATCATTATTCACTGATGATATGATCCTTTATAGAGAAGACCCAAAATAATCTACCAAAAGACTCCTAAGATTAATAACTAATTCCAGCAATGTAGCAGATTATAAAATCAATGCATAAAAATTAATAGTGCTCCAAGGATGAACTCAGGGAGAAGAAATTAATAAAACAATATCATTCACAATTTGAAAAAAATTAAATACTACAAGAAAATGAAATACCTAATTACCCTAACCTACCAGAAAATGAAAGATCTCTACATAATATATAGTATTTTGAAAAAAATAAATCAAAGAAGACATCAGAAAATGGAAAGATATCTCCTGTTCCTAAATAGGTCAAAATAGGGCCGGGCTTCCACCTCCTGCCTCCCACCCTCAAGGTCCAGAGTGTGATCCCCGGTACCAAAAATAAATAAATAAATAAGTCAAAATGGCCATACTTTCAAAACTGATATACAGATTTAATACAGTTCCAATCGGAATGCCAACAACCTTCCTCACAGAACTTTCAAAAAGAATCCAAAAATTTATATGGAACCAGAATAACTTTGTCTCATTTTATTTCTTTAATGAAAAGAAGTAAGAGAAATGGCAAAAGGAAAAACTGTATTGTCTATTTAGATAGTACAGAGATATTTGTCATTTTGCTTATGTTTATACTTTATAATATTTATACTTTTTAAAAGTATTTTAAATACTTTATAATTTATATTTTGCAATACAAAAAAAATTTTTAACTTCCCAGGAATACATTTCATTGACCATGAAAAGTTACCTCCCCAAGCACAAATCTTTGCATCAGCACTACAAATGGAGTTCAACTCTCTTCATCTTTTGCTAAATACCATTTTGTAGTACATGCTCTATATTTTTTAAGGATTAGAGAATCATTCATATGAGAAGAAATGTCAATAGCAGCAATATTTTACAGAGAAAGTAAAAAAGGAACTAGCCATAAATATCAAGAAGAATCCAAGTGGCATAAAATTGAAAAGAAGTTTCAAAGGTTAGTCAAATATCCAAAAGAAAATTCTTAGGAGTAAGAAATCAAAGGTATCACTGTCAAAAATTTTTTTTAAATGGGTGTGGACAAAGTCTCTATGTACTTGAATTTTTATTTGGGAGCACTTAGAGAATTCAACATGGGTCACATTTCAACAATATGATATATTGTCAAGACTATAATATCAAAGTTTTCCCCTGGTAGTGAAAACTATAATTATTAATAGCCAACAATATCCTATAGCAACATACCTGAAGAAGAAGCCTTTCAAGTGCCAGAAAGTTGTCCCACTTGGCAGTCTGTGGGTGTTTCAAAGTTTGAACTGTAGCCAGCCCAAGCTGGAGGATCCCACAATGATTCCTTAGAGCTTTGAGGTTGTTCTTGAAGAGCTGAATATAAGATGTGAGCTGCCCTGGAGTAACTCTCCCTGGAGAAACATAATAATTAATCAGCATATCCTCTTCTGAGAAGAGTAAAAATTATGAGGATGCCATGAATAATACTGCTGTCTGGTATTTGTACAGAATTTGTATTTGCAAGCTTTCCTAAGTTACTATTTTTCAAACAACATGGTGACAACAGCAAAGCTGATAGTATTACCTGTATTTTGCAAGTAAGGAAGCAGATGTTATGGGATCTGACCAAGGTAATATTACTAATTCACTTTATAATTCCTTAATACCTGAAAAAATTTCTAAGTCATGCAAATAAACAATTCTTGAGCTCAACTTGGTGTGTCTCTGGGAACTCAAAAATCAAAAAGCTAAGATTTATAGTTACATAGAGAAACCTGTTATGACTATAGCTAAAACTTTATCACTGATATCAGTGGGCTCATAATATTCATGAGGGTAAAAGGTGCCTGTTACATGGAACAAAAAAGTATAGAAAACTAGGGTGACAAAACACTAGAAAATAGGATATAATAAGAAAGGTTTTGGCTTGCCATAAAACACACAATACAATGGTATCCTAGATTTAAAGCAAGAGAACCCAGCTCATAAAAGGATAAATACTGTACAAAACACATACACATATTATATAAAACACATAATTTATTGCTGTACTCCTGTGGAGCCTCCAAGTCCGACTTCTATCTATAAAAATACTGTGACTGATTCTCCTCCCATTCACCAATCTGTTAAATTTCATGCCTTCAAGTGTCTTGCACAAGACTTCTAAGTAGCAAATTCTCCCCCTCAGGTAAAAAGGAGGCAATAAGTAAACCATTTTTACAATTCTCACACATGACCTATTTGTGGATCATTCTCTGACACTGAAATTCAAATTCATTCGTTATTACAACTAATTTTTATTATTGCCAGGGAATCCACATACATTTACCTAGCACTTTATGCCTTACAAAGTGATTAAGCACATATGCCCCTTTCTGAGTTTCATGGTAACATCATGAGATAACCAACAAGATATGAGCTGTACCTGTAAGCACTGTCAGAGGGCTGACAGCATAGTGTCTTATGCAATGTTAAAAAGCAGGTATCACTTCATAGTTTTTGCTACAGATCATTATATACTCACAAAAATAAAGACCTTGCCATAAGAAGCTCAAAAGCCTGTAGCATATATTTCTATATTTTCATTAATTTTTGAAGAGATTAAAATTTCAAAGTTCTTTTTTGCCAACTGGTCAGAGTAAGTAAGCATTTGAAGAGAAAGAGCAGCATGAATGGTAAGTAGGGAGGTCAGTCTCACTGGTTTCTTTGCTCCCTTGCCAAAACATGGACTCATTCCTCATTTGCAAAGAAGCAAGCTGTAGCCTTTTATACAGTACTGTATATCCTTTTCTTACACACGTATGCAACTAACACTGCATTAGATGTCATGAAAGCACAATTTTTCTTCCTAAAAATCCATTAACATGCTGAGACTTAGTAAAAAAAAAATACTGTATGAAGATGCTTTAAAATATAGACTTCTGACATTCTCAAAATTTACATTTTGTCACAACCTTACAAAAAAAAATAAAACAAATGAAAACCAACTAACTGAAAACTAAAAAATGTTGTAGTGGGATTCATAATTTGAAAAAAAAAAAGCTTCTTACTTCACATTAACTAAGCAACAAGCAACTAGAAACAGATGTTGAAAAGTAATGGGTAGAACATTTACCCATACCTAACTTTACAAAAAAAAAAAAAAACATTTGTCAGGCAGCTTTACATGGTAATTTTAAAACGTCACCCCAGAAGGCTTTGCAACACATTTTTTAGAACCACAAAACAAAGCTTATTTTATATTGACTGCATACTATACATCTTTTAGAAAATGACAATTTGACATTTGAAAAGTAGTTTTCAGCTAAGAAATGCTATTAAATTTTATATTTTTCTTATTTTAAAGAAAGAAAAACAGGCACCATATTTCAATTTAGCTTAGAGAAATATAAAGCTCTATCAGCCACCAATTCTCTATTTTTTATTGGTACATGTTTGTAGTACATAATGTTTACATTCTTTGTGGGGATTTAGTACATGTACCTAATACATCTTAATTCCTTTTTTTTTTCCTCTCATTAAGTTTATAGGTACATGTTAGGTATACAGTACAGTTAACTCCTTTTTTTAATCCTCTTACCCTTTCCTCCCTTTCTCCTCCCTCCACCTCTTCATCCCCTACCACCCTGACAAAGATCTCAGTAATTCCTATTATCTATTTTTTATTTTGATTTTTATTTATATTTTGAGTTTCTCAGAGAAACTCAATATTAAATATGCAATATTTAACTTGAATGTCTGATTTCTTTCACTTAACATTAAATAAGTTTTTTATAACTCATTTCAATATAATTAGCTCTTGAGGAAACGGGTACAAATTTGGAAAATAAAATAATATAACATTTTATTTTAATAGTCTCTGTAACCCTTAAAATATTGGTTTAATTGAATTCAAATGCTATATTAAACCTATTCACATTACTGCATATGCAGCAAATAATAGCTTGCTCACCCTGTTTTGTGGCTTAGTAAAATATGTTTAAAATATCTACATATATCTCATTCTTCATTGGCATTCTTAAATAGAATTTTATCAGTGCAATGTTTGATTTAATCTTATAGCTATCATGAGGGGAGAGGGCAACCACCAACAGAAATTCTGTCTAATACAGATTATATTATTTTACTATTTATAAAAATAAAAAAAAACTTCTTGATATAAGAAGTAGCCATAATATCATTGCACTTTTTTATTCATCATATTCCTGCAAACATGAATTATTATGTGATGTGTGGAACCTGATTAAGTAGACTTACGGGTTTTACAAGACTTCCAGTCCCAAAAATCAATATCAGCATTTAATTTTCCTCCTTTTCAATCATTTTCTACCAGGATAAAGGCAAAGTATATTGAAACATTTAAATATAATATATTCTGCTAAGACTCTGCCTTACTAATTTATACACAATTGGCAAACAGGAAAAATGTTAATAAGACATACTGTTCATTTGTGAATTTTTCCCATTATTTAAATATTTGGTACCATCAAATAACAGCTGCTGAGCACAAAGCAAATGAACACAGCTGAACACCACAGCCACAGAAAGAACTGCATAGTTCAAGAAGCACCTGTCACCCCCAGCTCTTCCTCTTGGCTCTACTGGCCATATGACCCATCTTCCAAGTACTTCCTGTTCAATTCATCCTGATCTTTGTTGCATACTGCCTTTTTGCCTCCATAACAAAACAACCTAGACTTCTCCTGTACCAACTTCCAAGGAGCTACCTTCAACTCTTTTGTTTACATCAAGTGAACATTTGCTGTAATATTTATGTATGTCTTTTTAACTGTTAGAATTTTTTATCAAGATTCTATTGCTCTTGTCAATGCTCTGATTACAAAGTTGCATAGACTTTCGCAAGGGCTACCACTGATTGTTAACTTTTTTCACCATGAGCCCTGATACTAGCATATAATTTTGGAAAATAGAAAATTTTCAGGAATGCATTTAAGTAACTCCTACCAATAAATAGACAAAGAGGCAATGTTACTAAAATTAAACTACTTACTGGTAGACAGCACTATTAGAGAAAACTTGGAATGTCAGTTCAATAGCTAACATAAAAGAGCCAGAATTTTGTGTATGAAGATGGCTTAGGAGTTTTGTAAATAATGTACAAAAGGCTCAAGAGGCTACCTGAGCACAAGTGTTTATGTCCTCTTGACAGGAGATTCTGTGAGAATGATAAAAAGCAAGAAAAGAGGGATAGGAGCACACCAACAAAGAGATTATGACATAGTCTCTAAGCAGACAAAGTAATTCAGTATCTTTTTGCCTCATCTGTTGGTTATTTTTATAATTTACATTATATGCTTAAGGTTTCTTTTTTGGTTTCAACTATAGACGGTATCACAGGGCTGTTCAAGATCTAAGAAGAGGATATTTAGTCCCTTAACTGTCCTTTCACTCCTCTTTTGACCGTTCCATCTTTTAAAACACCTGTATTTTTATTTTTACTCTGTCAAGATTGATAGTATTCACGGTTTATTCCATAACTATAATTCAGTATCGTGCTTTTTCTATAAGTATGATTCTAAAAGTTAAAAAATCAATCAATAATGTTTACATCATTATAAAATAAATTATATAACTTTACAACAAAGCCAAATTACGCACTATAATTACATTTCATCATTCACATAAATATTTTTTTTGGTCTTTTAAAAAAAAGAGTGTTTCATTTTCTTTTGTTTTGTTTTCATTATCTACCTTAATCAAAGCTTTAAACTATTCTAATCTTAAATACACTATTTTGTCTTTGGAGTTCCTCATACTCAACACTTCTCAAACTCTGTCAGCCTCCTGTCCTATTGAGGCAGACGGACTCTCGCCTTTATTCATAGGCATCAACCAGAAACTCCTTTGATTGCTTTCTACAGTTGGATCATTGTTTTCTTAAGGCCTTGGTATTTCTTTCTTGGTGTATCACCTTGTTTTGGTGGAGGTCCTCAAGTAATTTCCTCAGAAAAGCATATCTATTGTCTGAAAAAAATGATTCTTGCCCTCATAGTTTAGTCACAGTATATTTGGGATTAGACTTCTTGGTTGAAGATAATATATTGCTTCGTCATCTTCTGGTATTCAGGAGTTGCTGATGAGAAATATGTGCTTGTCTCATTACTGGTTCCTTTGTAGATTAGTTTTTTTCATCTTGAGATCTCGAGATCTCGTAAGAATCCTCTCCTTCTCTAGTACTCTGGGAATCACAGTGACTGTGTCTAACTTAGAGAAATTTTAAAAATTATTTCTATTTGCTGCTCAGTAAGCCCATTCAGGTTAAAATGGCTTTCTTCACATCTAGGGAAGTCTCAAGTTTCTTCTTTACCAATTTCCTATATTTTGCATTCTCTCATTTATCTTTAAACATTGTCCAAATATTTTATTTTTATAATATTTTCTAAGAGTGTGT